TCCATGGTTTATAATAATTAGAGTAATGCATATGCATTTTTAGTGAAATTCTGCCGGGAATGAGGCTTTAAGCATTCATTAATTAATGACAAAAGTTAGGGTTATTTGATTAGCTAAGTGATTAGAGTCCCCTCAAGTTACTACAGTATATGGCAATATATTTAAAAATTGTTTCCATAATTTTATACATTAGAAACAATGTAAACAAACATGGGTTTTTTTTTCAATATTAACAAATATTCTATAGCATAAATTTGTAATAGCCAAAGTAAATTACTGTATTTGATTAAAATTTTAAATCTTAATAATTCAATATCCTAGTTTATATACGTGTGTGTTGTATTTTACATGTTGATTTTGTAAATGGTGTGTGCCACTTTTATGAAATTGAAGGACCAATAATGTTATCAAACTAGAATGTATAAATTATATTTTTGTCAGATTTTATCTGATGAAGTAGAGCATTAATTGATGATTTTCAGATATTGAAAGATATATGATTTGTATGAACAAATTTGTATTGAAGGTAGGCACACTTATCAGATATTAGCCTGGTTCACGTCGAACTTTATCTAGATATACCCGTCTTGAAACATGATACGATAATCCCCTAATTGCGTACGATGCCAAGTTAGAGCCAGATAAACAGCCAGCCAGTTTCAGGCCGTCGACGTCACACTGTGGAAAGGCTTGTTTAATAAAACATCTACTGTATTTTACGAACCTCTAGTACCAAGTGGTATTTGTTGAAAAAAAATTGTGAACTACTGTAGAGAAAGTGTGAGTTTCCACTACCTAACCTAGCCGACCAGTGCAGCAGCGTGTTCTATCGCAATCTAAGTACTGTAGTAGATTCTCTAGGCCCTAGCTAAATTTACCTTCGATAAAAAACGAATTACTTTAATCGCTAGCTAGCATTATTCCATTTAACAAAATATTGTTTTAATTTTCATTAAAACGTCTGTATACTTTATGGACCTTTCTGTCCTGTTTTGTAGTTTTTAGATCGCTCAATTGTGTTGTTTACATGCACTTGCGAAAATCTAGTTTCGCGGTGTCAAATTAAGTTGCTGACTTCCACACTTTTTTATTTCGTTATCGTAAACATGTGCGCTCATTTTAACGACTGGCGTTGGTGGTAGTTCGTTGAAACTGAATTAATAGCGACTATTATAGCAGAAATGGAAAAGATTGAATTGTCAATAAATAAATACAACAAATCTGATTTTATAAAGAAAAATATACATTATCATTTGAAAAATGTACGCAATTGGACTTTTTAACGTTATTACTTGGTCGATGATGCAAAGGGCAAAAATCATTGGTAATACCGACTATTCGTAAAACGGACATTGCTTGGTTTTTACCCATAATATTACAAATAATTTCTGAAAACCAGACTAATGAGACTACTTCAATGCTGTTGTTAGCATTGTTGGAGTACGTTGTTGCCAGCCAGAAGATGATATGGTGGTACAATACAACAACGCTGGCTTAGATGCTACGTTACATAATCGTGTCCTTGTAATCCGAACCGAATTTACCGTTAAGCAAGTTAATTTACCGTTATTCTAGTAAAGTTAAGTCACTTAACTTAAGCCTTTTATTTAGCTATAATTGAGTGGTTCACGTCAAACTTTTAACTAGTTAAAGTGGATGTATATCTAGATAAAAGTTCGACGTGAACCAGGCTATTGTTTGATCAAATAATGAAAAACAAAATAAAAATAATAAAATCTCATCTTATTCATCTATTGTGCCCATGAATTCCTCCTCTAAAGCTCTATTAGGCTTCATTACCAGACTTTCCATATCTGCTGGTAGATCTTGTAGGGAGGAAATGCATCGGTTAATCCCTCGACTAGTACTATGACCTCTACCAGCGATCTTCTCAAGCCGTATGGAACGTCTGACAGGCGTCACTAAAAACCGTTGAGAACTGCCATCCATGCTTTTGTTCAATCTGTTGAGATCATTTTAAATGTCAATAAATATATAGCTAATATCAGTCACAAGTAAATAATAATACAGTACAGTATACCCTCGATTTTACGTATGGGACCGGAAAACGTACGTAAATCGGGCAATTCGTTAAACCAAGGTTCGTTTAAATTTGTGGTGACCTTTGACCTAATATGTACCCAACTCTCAACGTATGTTATGAACGAACGATGTTACTTCCTAAGAATGAAACCCTGTGTTTAGTGTTTTTATTCATCATTTTATGATGTCATAATAAAGTGTTCAAATCAAACCATATCAGTTTATTAATGCATCACTTCATATGTTTTATTTAACTAAAGAACATGAAAAGATTACCTATACAACAAAAGTTTAGATTATAACGCGTGTTAAATAGACACAATCAATGTTGCTGTTGAATGCAAATAATAAACAGACAGGAACTAACAAACCTCTCTTTACATTATAGTGGCCCTCAAAAGGGCCGTTTGTTTTGAGTATTTTGGGGTTTTTGATGACATCATAGTCCATAGGAAGCTACTTAATACTGAGGGTTCGTATAACTGAGGTACATAAAAACGAGATTCTACTGTAAATGGGGTAAAAAAACACCAATATACAGTACTGGATTTGTTGGTTGGCTGTCCTTACCTTCCAGGACTGCGATTCTGGGTTCAAATCATACAAATGTCAAGATTTTCTCAAGACTAAACAGTAAACACAATTTCTGTTATAAATTTCTCAAGGATTTGAACCAAGAATATTTTGGTTTGGAAGACAAGTACATTTAACCACCAAGGCCGGTCCACTTTATTATAATAAAGTAACTTAATGGTCCATTCTAATGTATTTATAATAAAGTAATTCAATGGTTCATTTTAATGTATTTATAATAATTTATTTAGCAAATAACTCAATGTTGTTGGAAATTTGCATGCTTTATTGCATTTTTGAACATGAAAAAAGAGAGAAACAACAATGAAACTATTAATGATTAATATAAAACCTTATTAAAATGCTGTGATTGTATTGATTTATTGGGTTGTAGACTTACCGGTTTACAATGGGCGTGGATTTAACGAGAGAGTAACGGACCACAGATGATGTACCCTCCTCCACCTTGGGGGTGGTGCAGTATTTTAGGGTGCTTGACGACACTGGCCCAGGTGTGCCTAGAAGTAGTTTTGGAGTTGCACAGGGTGTAGTGTCCATTCTTTGTGAGTATCTGATTGTGAAATCTTGTAACGCTGATTTCAAAATGTCAGTGGGCTGCCAAAAGAAAAGAATGTGTTATAACACAATGGTTTTTTCAAGATTTTTATTTAGTTGGACTTTGGGCAACACTTTGGCCTTATTACTATTAAAAAATATTTGATTCTTGTTACAGTATTCTGAACATAAGTTAGGGTTTACCTCTATCATACAAAGGCATTCTTACCTTTGCTTTGTGGTCAATTGCTTGTTCATACAAAGCGAGGACATGCTCTTGACCAAAACCAGCCCTCTCAGCGACTTTAGCGCGACAAACCCAAAACAAAGCTCTACTTCTTACTTGAGGGCAGCGTTCATGTAGCTCTTCTAGCCAATCACCAACTTTGCTTTCATTCTTTATCTAAGATATTAAAAGAAAAATCAAAAGTATGTTAACTGACCAAAAAGTTTTTTTTCTTTATATTCACATTCCTATAAGAAAACTTCAATTATTCAGCTTATAACATAAACTAAAATGCAATCAAAAGCTGTTTTGTAGTATTTTAATATTATGTTAGAAACTCGCTTTCATTTGTCATTAACACTTTTTTTAATGAAAATTTAAAAGATAGGTTTTCATGATTTAATTAGATCTTTAAGGTTTTATCAGATCTTGTTTTTATCAGATATTTCAAATTTTTATTCGAACTTTAAAAAATCGATGAAACTTTAACCTCATTCATGAAACCAAGACAGCTTTGAAGGCATTCATCGAGGGCGCAATTCACGTCCACTTCACTTCTTTCCAAACGGGCATCCTCATCCACTTGAACACATTGCTCTAGTTCTGGACTGAGTCTGACAACATCAAATGTTTCTCTCCGAACATTTCTTTTGACCGTGTGCGGTGTCTTACCCTTTGCTGTAAGCCACTCTTCCAAGCGAGCCCTACCAACAAATAATTTGTAAATTATTATTATCCAAATTTTCTATAAATCTCTGTCCAGACTAACAAGTTTTTGTACATCATAATTCCCATATATGGGTGTGATATGACATCACTATGTCCATATGAACCATCAAGTTTTCTGCATCATGTGATATCATAATGCCCATATAGCGTGATATATGACATCATTATGTCCATATATATGGATGAGAAATGACATTAAGAAAATAATAAATATCCTCTGAATTTAATCTAAGAAAATATAATACATATAAATTACCAAAATTCACAATTAATAGGTACAAAAATAGCCCCACACCACAGCTCATAAATATTATAAATCAAATTATCAGAACCAACAGACCACAATTTTAACAAATTCATCTTTATCAATTTGCTTTTTGTAATTTAGATTAGGTTAATTTTGTTTGTTATTTAATTGTAGTTAACCATGTTGGCCAGAAATAGAACCAGAGCTTTCGGACAACACTAGTCCTTCCTCAGTGGCGAGTATATATATATATATACATATACATTTATACATATATATATAATAATGATAAGCTGTTGCTTATCATTTTTGTATCTCTACTGAGATCCAGCCATTGTTTCCCACAGCATTGTTGTTTTCCAGTATTTTGCCTTTTAATCTATATATATATATACAGTATATATATATATAAAATCTGCGTGGTCGGCTTAAACCAGATCATGTAGACAAGAGTGCTCAATGCAGTATATAGCAGAGCAGATAGGCAAATAAAACATGTAACACAGGGTTAAAGACTCAACAGTTTATTGCACTACAGGCTGTTTCATGAGTGGTGCCTCAATCATCATGTGCTAGGCTCTGAGTGAAGGAATAATGAAGTACATAGATTGTGACAGTTTATCAGAACAAAAGTGTGTATTACCAAGTGATTAAGTCTCTATTGTTTAGATGGATAAAAGAAAGCCTCTAGGATTAAGTAGTATATCGTAACAAGAACTTGCGTCTATGTCTACATGAACTGAATAATTCGTTCCTTTGATTTAGAGTACAAATTTCGGGTTGACATATAATAAAATACTTCTCTTGTATACAAAGGTTACATCGTTTGGTAGAGTTGGAATATGATTTACATTTAGATAATATACGCCATTTAATTTTGTACTTTATGTTATCTTCTTTAAGCTTCCAAACATAATGGCTAAGTGTAGTGTTATTCTTGTATTTATCATTACGGAATGAGCAGGTATGCCCATTGTATCTACTTTTAAACGTATTTTCCGTAAGACCAACGTATGTTTTAACTTCATTATTGTCGTCCCTAGTAATTGTAGCTTGGTATACTACGCTGCTACTTAGACATTTCCCAGATAGTGGGCATTCATTATGGTTAGGGCAATTGCATAGCTTGCAGTTGTCTTCTGCCTTGTCATTTTTTATTATGGTTTTATTATGGGAAGAGATTATAGATCCTATATTAAGCATGCAGCTATAACTTATCTTAACAGTGTTCCTATTAAAAATCTTTCTTAATACATTATTTTGTGGGAAACAATCATCTATAATTCTAAGGAATACGTGGCCAATTCTGGTTTTGACATTACTACTGTAGGGTGGATTAAACCAAATAACGTTCCTTTTTCTTTTCTTCTTGTTAATGTGAGTGTTAGTAGAAGGGTTATATTTTAGTTCATATTCAAACCCGCTTTCGTTAAGAGCTTCTTGGTAGGTTTATTTAACATCAGCATGGACCGCATTGACCTTGGTTATTCGACAAAGAACATTCTAACGGCTCATCCTAAGGAATATATGAAGTACATGATCGAGAAGACGGAATTCTTTCTCAACCGAATGCTATGGAAAGCATTCCATTACCTCAACCCAACAACAACGACATCGGTAAAGGAAACCTTTAAATTTAAAACATCAAAGAACCCACCTACACTACCAGAACTTAAAGAATTTGAAGAAAAAATGCTTATTTTTGTACAGACCATTAAGTTCGACGATACATCAAACCAATGCCAATTCCAGAAAGACCTTTCTAAAGACAGCAACCTATTTATATCGGCAGACAAAGCTAACAACTTTTACAGCATGGATGCGAGTGATTATAACAATCTACTATCCAAGAATATAACGAAATCATACAGGAAGGCACCAGCTGATATTGTGAGTAAACTAACAACTGATGATAAAGACATAGCAAAGAAGCTCCACTTAGATGATAGAATAGAATCTACCGCCAAACGAGATGCATTTATAACTTTAAAAGACCAAAAAGACAATTTCGCAAATAATCCGACATGCAGATTAATCAGTCCCTCCAAATCCGAAATAGGAAAGATTAGCCTTATGTGCGGTATTGTTATGCAATTGAGCCAGATAAGCACAATCTGCACATGCCCAGAAAAACAAAACTTTCCTTAGCCACACTGCGTATCGGCTAGGCGTACAACAACTGGGCCTAGCTTATCTTATTTTGGTTTGTTACGCACCACACTGACTTAGGCTGTTTGTCATCACTTCAAGATGTCTACCGATTCGTGGAAAAGGCGTATTAAAATCCAAATATTGGCGTTTGTGAGCAATACACTTTAATTTTATATAGGTAAGTAGTAAGTATAAGAATAATTTTAATGCACTAGTTAGTTGATAACTTCATTCTAATTTGTTTTGGGTCTTTTTTCTGCATTTTATAAGCGGTTAGACATGGCCTAGGCCGGGTGCGAAATTTTTTTTCCTCGTCATTTAAGGCAGAAGTCAACAGAGGGCGCGCTATACTGGGCGCTATAATCATGAATATTCAATCAGTTTCGTTCTGAGGTATCAGCGATATTCGACAGCACACACGCAGCTCGCGGCGCTGAAGTCCCAATTCAAACATTAGTATTATTTCATTGTTACTTCTGTATTTTACACAAAATATGTACTATAGTACATATTTTGTGTAAAATACACATGAAGTAGGTAAAGTGAATTGAAAATACAATTGAGTTATATTTTCAATGGAACCTCACAGCGATTAATTAGATCGATTATGAGAATGTTAATTATAAGAGTGTCATTTCCAGCAGAGATCCTCTCGTCTCTTCTCCATTCATTATTTTACCTTTTTTGATGGTGAATTATTCGGGCGATACAGTGTTCGAATAAAGGACATAATACATTGTGTAGCATTTACTGTACTTTAATAATACTAATTAGTCATTATGACGATAATAAAGGTGATAACAACAACAACAACAACAACATTAATAGTAATATTTATTTTAACAATGCTAATAGTAATAATACTAGTATGGTAATAATAACGATATTTAAATATCAATTTTAATAACTAATTAGTGATAATAACGATATTGAAAGTGATAATAGCAATAATACAACAATAATAAATTAAAGATAATGTTTATTTTTATAATAATAGTAATACTAATTATTAATAATAATAATACTTATAATACTAGGCCTACTTAGTAATAATAGGGTAATAATATCGATAATAAAGGTGACAACAACAACAATAATATTAATAATAGTAATATGAGAAAAATACTAATAAAACATGTCCCCAATAATAATAACTTTTTAAATTACTATTATTTAAAATAATAATACTAAGACTAATAAATAATAATAATAATAATAATAATAATAATAATAATAATAAAAAATCGAAAATTATTTATTATTTATATGGTACTGTAATAATAATAATATCAGCAAAAACTTGCAATATATAATGTTAATGCTAAGACTAATAATTAATATTAAAACTAACGGTAATAAAAACAGCAATAATAATAACAACAATGACAACAATAATAACAATAAGTATAGCAATACTTCAAGAACTAGTATTTTATACTTGATGAATTTCTCCTTCTAGTAAATGACTTGTGGCCGAGTTAACTTGTGGCCGAGTTGACTGTGGCCGAGTTGGATCGAATACCCTTAGGCCTACCTCAAGAATACGGAAACTGCCGTTAGTTTTGTTGTGGATATCACAGCCTGTAATATTCGAATGCCGTAGAGAAAATAGTTTTTCTTGCTGGATTTGTTTCTAGCCCTATGCTGATACGTACGTAGATATTCTCTATGGCGAAAATAGATCTCAAGAATGGAATAAGTTATTAGGCAAGGACTGCAACTTTCTAGTTGAATATTCATGAGTATAGCGCGCCTTCTATTGACTTCTGCCTTAAATGACGAGGGAAAAAAATTTCGCAGGCCGGGTCTAGGCTAGCCTAATCACATCAATTTAAAATCAAATTTGTAGACATACTTGCCTTACTTCTTAACTTGCAGGTGATTTTATTGGTAGACTAGTTTGTTTTTAAGTGTGTAAGTATGATTGATTTGCAAGCCAATTGAAATTAGTACCCTTATTTTGCTTTGTTTTACCGTACCGTAATTCCACCCAATTCGCTGGCCATGTATATCTCAGTATATGTTATGTTAGACAAACCTTGTATATGTCGAGATAGCCTATATTACAATATACCAATATGTATTGTCAACATGTCATTGCCAAGAAGTGGTATATTTTTTAAATCTCGTGGGCTGTTTGTTTTTGCTGGATTATCAAGACTACGTCGCTAGTGAACCCCACCGCGCCCTGCGCCTTTTTTAATCGCTTTTTTCAATCAGTTTCGTCTCCTTTAATTTCGACAATTTTGCGGGGTTTAAAAAAAAAATAGGCTATATTTTCTTCTTGAAAACATTAATAATCCCAGGTAAGGATAATTTACGATTCTTTGCAATCAAATAATTTATCAGTATTTTTTACTAAATAAATTGGTTTTGCTCTACATATTGACATTTTGTTATTTTCGATGCAGGCCTAGGCTAGGCTAACCTAGCGGCTAGGGGCCTACTACTACTAGCCTAGGCCTAGGGCCTGTCTGGTTCCCAGTGAGTTCAAACCACCAATTACAATCACAATAATGTCCATCGCTGAAGCCTTAATTTGAATACATCACCCTACATAAGAGTTTAAGATCATGATGTACCGTACAGTACAGTATTTGGCTTTGGTTGATAGCAGAGGCTTCGAGGTGCACGCGGAAAAATAAGGGAAAACCTAGCTATATGTGTTTTATCTGTCTATCTGCTCTGCTATATACTGCATTGAGCACTCTACATGGTCTGGTTTAAGCCATCTACGCAAGTTACATTATATATATATAGCATTGTTTTCCAGTACTTTACTCTCTAGATGACCAAAAATAACATCTGAGACGTATTAGGCGACCCTCAGTACACAGTACAACAAAAGAAAGTATGAATTAATTAACAGTAATATGCAGTCGGTTAATTTAAACTAGAGTAATTAGCCCTAATGATATAATCAATAAACATTATATATCTGTCTCTTATACACATCTAGATGTGTATAAGAGACAGATGTATGGGTGTGTGTGTGTACAGGGGTATTATCACTCTACAGACTGTTTCATGCTAATGCAATCTTCAGGAGTGAGAGAATACAAGGATTGTGAGAGTATATGAATGCTAAGACAGGTGAAAATGCAAATGAGTTAATTGTTTTTAAGTAGGTATTTGTTGCTGTGCCTGCATTTAGACAATAGCTCGGTTCTTTTGTTTAGTGTTGACTGTTTGTCTGAATATATTATGTGAAGTTTCTCGGTTATGCACAGGTTGCAGCGTTTTGTTTTTGGGGAGTAAGCCGATGCTCTGTCGATGATAGACCATTTAATGTTGTAGGGTGTGTTGCTATCTTTTAATTTCCATACGTATTTGGAGAGTACGGTGCTGTTTCTGTGTTTGGGGGTGTTAAAAATGTATTTGTGGTTTGTGTATCGGGTTTTGAACGGTGTGTCAGTGAGCCCGATGTAGCATTTTTTGTCATCATTTGAGTAGACAGTGGCTTTGTAGATGATGATGGATGAGGTGAGACAATTTCCAGAGAGTGGACATTCATCTTTTTTCCTGCAATTGCAGAGAGTCTTCTGGTTGCTAAGCAACAACAGCCAATTTGTGAACAAGATCGGAGATCTAAAGATGCAATCTCTACCGTGCATCAATGGCGGCCCACTGGATCTCAATAGAGATTCTTTAATAATATATAAATTTTAAAAGGCAAATGGCCACATAATGCAAAACTATTTAAAATTAAAACGGAACAGTAGGGAAAATCCGATCAGAATGACAAAATAAACTAAGCATCCACTGGAGGGAATCCCAATATCTGCAGACGGATATATTGTTAAGTACTCTAACTTAGGCTGTAGCTCTAGTGGATTTTCATCTATAGTATAATTGCAGTTGCTGTCTAGCATTGTAGTTTTGTTTGAATTACTTACATACCATACTCAAAATACAACTAAAGAAGTTTTGCCTAGGTTTCCATGAAAACTGATAGACAAGTAGGATTTTGTGTTTGGAGTAACCTGGGTATGTGTCCTGGCAGGGTAGTGTAGTTAGTATTGAGTTTTACGTGTGAGCAGTGGTATTAATAAATTGTGTATTTTATATTGGATTCCATATATTTGGTTGCTTGCTGTTCCATTTTGTTTGTAGCTGAAAGAAACTGGGTGGAGTTTATTATTATTATTGTATAGAGAGCTATATAAAT